CCTACCTGATGAGCCCCAAGAAGGGTGAAACCGGTCGTAGGCTGTCGAAGAGTTTTCACCAACCTTCTGAGTAGTTTCGTTTATGAAAATATACTGCGATATCTCGAATATCGTGCCAACTGAATCATGAGGCGACCTGTGTGGAATATCATAAACGAGAGATTCAGTTGAGTCTCTCGTGAAAACCAAATTGACTTACTAATGAGTGTATTTCTCGAATTCAACTAGAACATAAGGTAGACGGAAACTCGGGGACTGCGCCTAACTGATGAGCCCGAATCGGAAGGGTGAAACCGGTCGTGGGCTACCTGGGAGTTTCCAGGAACTTTCATGCTTTGCTCAACTCACTCCTAGATGCGTTAATTGTAAAAGAGTTCTGTTTTTTTCCGATGTCGGTCGACGAGGCAGCCCCCTCACTTTACCGGGGTCTTGTCCCATTCAGTACAAAAGACCCTCATCGGTACCTTGGAACATTTGCATCCTGGATAGGCCTGATACGTAGCTCCAGCTGTTGCAAGACGTATTCCCAGAATTTAGCTCCGCAGATAAAATCCTCCAGCGTAACCAAAATTTAAAGGTGGCGGTATGGCCCTTATAGTAGTACTTTTAAGGCTGTCTATCTTCAAACGGCAGCCTCAGTGGGAGCACTCCCAACGCCATCTATCAAGACATCACATTCAGTTCTATCAATAATTCGCTGCATAGATCAACTCAACGACGGGTGCGGGGAAACCTTCGTTGTCGGTAGAACTGACAGGAGTCTTGAAATGCGGGCAAAAGAACCTCTGGCTATTCGAGTTCCGGAGCTGTTAAAGGACTTGGTCTGACGCCAACGAAATCAATTCCATGGTCACGTGCTTGATTCAAGGCACACACACGAGCTTCAATCGTTGCGATTTGCAACCAACTCAGACGACGAAAATTGGTTGTAGCATTGTGACCTCAGGATGACCTTGAAGTTGCCCTGCATTTATTGACTGAATTAGTGAAGAGGGCGATTTTAATATACCTTGTGTGTTGATTTGTAGATGCCTTGGTTGCGCATTACGATGGGACGATGCTGTACGGGGTTTTATCAGCTCCAGACACTAAGCAAGGTCTTCTCCTATTCCAGCTACCTTGATCAATGTATTCCGCTGCACAGCATGTGTGGACGCCGTGCTAATACGTCAAACGATCTGCCAACCGCATTTGACGTGATGCGTCTTGGAAAAATTTGCTGTCTTGGGGCAAGGCCTTCTGCTCAGTAGTTTGGCTAGCCTTAAACGACAAGCAATAGGGCTTTCTTTCCGCTTTTGTGACGAAGACAGAGCGGACATGGCAAGGCACAAAGTTCATGATTTACAGCCATCTTAACTTGAGAAAGTCTTAATGTGTTTTTGGCTGATCCCCAACGTCATCGTTTCCACGACTCTGGGTCTTGGCTAGGACCAGGTAGATCAAATCAGCTTTTTTG